CTACCATTTTCTATCTCCACAGTTAAGGCATCTCCTAGAATACTAGTAGGTACAAATAGATGTTGGTGATAAGAATCAAACATGAATGAGTAGCTTGCACCTAAATCAAAGAAGATATGTGTAGGTACAAAGTTAACAAGGAACCTACTAGAAACCACGTCTGTCGACGTCTTTGCCTCATCGATAGTCATATGAAAAGCCTAACCCTGAACCCTAAGAGGCTTCTCCTTTTTTTTCCTTGGCTTCCTACCGTTTTCAGTTTTGGGCAATCCTTTTTTAAATGCTCTGACTCTTTACATTCAAAGCAAATGATCCCTTTCACCATGTAGTCCCTTGTCGCATGAATGAACTTCTTATACTTGAAATAGTCATTAGAGTTTGAGTTGTAGGGGTCGTGATGTTTATTTCAGCACCAATGACACCACCTAACTTCCCGACGATTATCAAATTCTCTTCCTTCATTAGACAGTCTCGGCCTCTTGAAAGACCCTGAGTTTCCTTCCCATCTTTTCTTCTTACCAACCAAGGTCTTCTCTTCCTTACTTTGTGCATAAACATCCTACATGAGTTGAGTCTGCTCGATTGCTTCACGGAGGATGGAGGCCGTAATATTTCAGACCATGACCATCATATATGTCGGCAAGCCTTTAAGATAGACTTTAACTTTCTCTTTCTAACTTGGGGCCATGTGCCCCACCATATCTTGCTTCTCCATGAAAAGTTGGGAGTGTTCTTTCACAGTCATGCTCCTTCTCTTGAGAGCCCAAAATCTATTTTCTATCCAGTCAATAGCTTGCTCATTGTAATACTCCTCCATAACCTTCTTTTTAAATATTTCTCATGTAAGAAATGGGATGATGACAAATCCAAGGGTGGACTTAGTGACATTCCACCACCTAAGAGCTGGCCCTGTTAGCATTTGAGAGGCAAACCTCATTTTTGTCTCTCCTTGCATTCGCTTGAGTCGAATGCTTGTTCAATCTCTTGGACCTAGTTTATATACACCACTGGATCTTTACTCTTAAAAACTCGAGCGGTTTGATAGACAGAAAGGTCTTGTACGAACAACCCTTCCCGCCCCGCCCCGCCCTCCTCCAATGACCGCTTTCTCTTCGGTGACAATAATATTCCCATTCCTACCTAACCCAACCATGGCATTCTCAACAACCTTCTCATGCCTCCGGTTGCTAGCCTCCCTATCCTCAAGTATCTCCATGAATCGTTCTTCTCATCTGTCCATGGCGAAGCTCATTACTTGCAAAAATACTGGCCATCATTATAGACTGTGGGTCTAACTCTTGCATAACTGGAGTATTAGTGGCCAAACTCACTCTGGGAACTATATTGACTATGCCTTTTAGCATAGGCAGAATCAGAAGGAGTTGTGTGTTATTGACCCCTCTAGGTTACCCTGCGTCATCATACTGGCCTCTTGGCTGCCAACATCGCTTGGCGGTCTACACTGCATGTTAACTATCTTAGACTACCAAATAAAGGAGTAAGAATATAAGGTTGATCTAATATGAGAGTAACATTTGAAATGTACTATTACAGTCATCATTCATCATTCATCATAACAATAGCAAGGTTAAGCACACTTACATTACAAGATACTCAAAATAGCATTAGCTATGTGAAATTTTGAATATATTATACATAAGAATTCTCGTTACCATCATTACAAAATGTTTAATTGAATGAACAATATTTGGTTTCATTAATAAAACCAATTTTATCTTGGCTATAAACCATGAAACCGATTCCATTTTGGTTAGGAAACATGAAACAAATTTAAAAATGATTGAAATATTATTATTCAGTTTTTGAAGTGTTTCACTGACTGAACAATATTTAGATTCATATGTAAAACCGAGTTCATCTTGGGTAGAAACCATGAAACCGATTCCATTTTGGTTAGGAAACAATTCAACAATTTTCACTGTTGAAACAATGTCATTCAGTTTTTGGAATTTTGGAGTCTATGAAACCAATTTCAATGAGGAAACAAATTTCATTAACAAAAACATGTTATTCAGATTTTTGGAAAAATGTTGCATTAACTGAACCATATATGGCTCAAATTTCATTATACAGACGAACGATAAAACAAATTTCACTAACGGAAAAATGAGATACAATTTTCAAATGTTTTTATTAGATGAAATCAATTTCCAAAAATGAGACGAACGATGGTTTGCCAATTTTGCCCTTTCTTGATTAAATATTAAACCTTTTATTTTATTTTTTACTTCCTAATATAATACATTTAAATTATGACCATCGATCAAGAAAATGGATGAATGAGATTGGTTTGTAGGGTTTGCACAAAAGGGGATGGTTCGTATTTCATCGCTCCTCTACACACACACACACACACACACACACACACACACACATATATATATATATATATATAGGGTTGGGTTCACATGAGACCAAACTGTTTTCGTGAGACCACTTTTTTAAACTTGAAATTTCACAGCAAAAAACTGTGAATGTAGAAAAAATCCAAACCTTCATAGTAAAAACACTAGAAAAGTTACTTTCACAGTGTTTTGCTGTGAAGTTTCAAGTGCAAAAAATGGTCTCACGGATGTCACGAAACAACCTGGTCTCACGTAATCACAAATGTGTGTATATATATTAGAAGGGTACTCGCGCAATGTAGCAAGATAAATCTCGATTTTAATGTTTATTTTTTATTCTTTGTCTCTATCGATATAATACGATTTTATGTGGTTTTGAGAAAGTGGTAATGTTTTTATTTTTGAATTAAATATAAAATTGAAAATATCATAAAAATTTGTAAAAGAACAAATCGATAATAGTATCAAGTTAACTATTTAATAGTTCTCGTTTTTTTGGTGTAACTTCTTTAATTTAATTTTTTTATTATAATTTAATTTAGATTTAATAACAAAGTAATTTATTTTTGGTTTAATAATATAATTTTTTATAAAGATAATAATTAAACATTTTGTTAGAACTTAATGATTATCTTAATTATATTTTAAATTTTTTATATTTAAAATTTTTTATATTTAAAATGGATGTTTATCATGCATTTGATTATGTTTATCAAGAGTTAGTTACACGAATTTAAAAATGAAATTTTAATAAATTGTACTTACGTAAAATTACTTGTAATCTTAAATTTTAAGTAATATGCGTCAATAAACAGTAATTCATGCATAAAAATGATTTTTAAGAGTTTTTATCAAATGTTGTGTAATATAATGTGTGT